AAAAAAAAAATCAGACACGCATTTTGGCGTGTCTGACACGTGTCCGGCGCGTGTCCGGGCGTATCCGTGTCGGACACGTGTCCGACACAGATACTTCGCCCAAAAATAAGTGTCCATGTTTCCTTGGCTTCTTGCAATCTTTGAATGTCCAAAGGGTTAGAAGAGTCAGACTACAACAAAGAATTGGAAAATTGATCGAGGGGAAATAACGAGATGGCAACGTCATTTGTGGCTACCACTTGTACCACAAGGCAGAAATACACCGGATTTCGTCGAAATCTCAATATAAGCCGGAATAAAACAACGAACATTCGTCTTGATTTGAATCAAAGTTTCTGAATAATCTAACATATTTAGGGTATTTGAAGAGACTTTCTTCAGGCTGCTGAGGTGAGTACTAATAGCTTGAAAGCATTGCATATTCTAGGAGTCAAAGGCAAGTCATAAATTTTCACCCATCCACCAAAACAGACCGTCACTTTGTTTCTGACATGCTCTTCAAGGTTCCACTTTTTCAATTTTTCTTCAAGGTACCGTGCTCTCATTCATTGTCCACATACCCCAGAGGGTGAATAAGAACATATAAGGGATCATAAGCCTTTCCAACTTTTCCTAGTACTTCTACTTCTTATTATAATTTATTTCATAGTGGTGACTTGGCACTTTCTGTAAAAAAAAAAAAGAAGACCCAATATTATCTCCTCCTCGATAGTTTAATTGTGATGAAAAGGTAAGTGGGTTACCATTATTTTCATTATAGAGTATACATTTGAAGTTCCATAATTATACAATTTCTCATTTGAATTTGAAATTCTTACTTGGCAGATCCAGAATGAAGGCTACCTTTTGCAATTAGGAGTAAAAGATGCTCTACTAAATGCTCTTCTTGTGGCTGCCAAAAAGTTTAGTTCAGGCCCTCCTCAGGTGCTTCATATTTCTTGCAATTTGAGCTGTTTGGTATTTAGTTAATAATCTAGATCTAGATGGGTAATTTGAAAATTTTGATCTCTCTCATTTATATAATACAGTATTAAGTCATATCTGTATTAGTTATCCAGTTAATGGTGTAAATAAGTTTTTAACTTCTTACTTTTTCCTTACCTTAGGATATGCCCTCTGCTTTTGTTACAGCTTTTAACTCAAATCTGTCTTGCACTCTCTGCGCTTATTCTGAGGACGGTAGAGCATGGGAAACCCATTGATCGTCTTTTCTACAGTCTTCAGAATCTGCAGAGTGTGGACAACGGCAATTTAGCTGTGTTGGAGATGCTTACTGTTTTACCTGAAGAAGTTGTTGACAGCCAAAATGTCGATTGTAAAATAAGTTCATCCTGTCGAAGCCAATATGCCCGAGAGGTGTAGGAACTTTCTATCGCTACTAATATGTGATGTTTTTTCAGCCCCCAAATTTGTGGCCCACTTTATCTTTCATTTTCTCCATTTTGTGTTACTTTAATTCTGCAGCTTCTGTTGCACACTCCTATGGTTCTTGAGTTCCTACTGCAGCAGTCTGAGAAAGGATTTGATTGTGGTACACAGCCACAGGAAAGGAACAGAAAAATTCTTCGATGTTTGCTGAGTTGGGTATGATGGTTATCAATATTATGCCACTTTGATGAAAATAAAGATTTATATGATGTGTTGGGTGGGGCTAATTTTCTGTCTGTTTACAAATTTCCAGGGTCAACTAAAGACTGTTTTCTGTTATAAATAAAAACATTATTTTGCAGTGTTTTTCTTTAGCTTTTTGCATGGATCTTCGTTTTCATTTTATTATATGCCTCTTTTTTTTTCGAATATTGTAACATCCTTATGTGTGTGTGTTTTTTTTTGTCTTAAAAGTTAGTTTTCTTGTGTCCAGGTTCGTGTTGGGTGCTTCTCCGAGATACCTCAGGGTTCACTGCCAACGCATCCCCTTCTTAATTTTGTGCTCAAGTCCTTGCAAGTAATAATTACAATCACACTTCCAAATTGCAGTCTGCTTGTTTAGCATCTAAACATTATTTTTGTACAGGATGCTGCTTCATTTGATTTGGCTATTGAAGTTCTCGTTGAGCTCGTGAGTAGACATGAGGTATGTTTCATACTTCACTAGTGGCATGTCATTGAATATAGAACATTTTGTATGGTTATACACATTGGTATTTGTTATATGTTACAGTCACATGTTGTAAAAAGTTTTGGGTAAGACTCAAAATTGGTCACTTATACAATTCTGATTGCTAATTCCCCATCTTAGTTGAAAAACGCTTTTAGAATGTCGTTCTTGGATTGATTTCTCTGGTAATGGAAACAATTAGTTCATATTCTTGTTAAAAGTAAAAGATGAATTTGAGGTAGACATGTCATTTCAATTTTATACATAGAAAAAAGTTATAAATTCAAATAATTGTTCTTGTATTGTTTATAGGCGTAAATCTTAATGTGCATTCCATAAGTTCTTCGAGGGTTTCTTGTTTCCCACTTTCTTGTTTGTTCTGTTAAGTCCTAATACAATTTTCTATATTTTTTTAATCTAAAAAAAAAATGCTACCTGTTGGTTAAAATTTTTAAATTTGTGTGGAAACAATAATACATTACAGCTATGATAGCTGACCAATTATCTCTTATCTTTTCTCGGTTTCCTTAGAGTGCTCTATTTGAATACATGGATGAGGTAAAGTTCTAGATCGATTCTGCTGCTAAACATTTGTCTGGTTTCATGATGCTTCTTTTTATTTGCTTTAATGTCTGTGGTTCTCTGCAGGGGTTACCGCAGGTTCTGCTGTGCAGAGTACATTTTCTCAAGGAAATGCTTCTTTTGCCTTCTCTTGGTAGTGGAGATGAGAAAGTAATCGGTGGTCTTGCATGCTTGTTCTCAGAAGTTGGGCAAGCAGTAAGTATGTGGAATTGGGTTCTAATTGAACTTTATTTTTCTAATAACACCTATGAATTAGTTAGTGACCTCAATTCAGTTAGTTCTTTCATTCACCTTGGACTGTTGGACTCAAGAAGATTATGCTTTTTTTTTAAAAGATATGAACTTTTCATTAATAGGTGAAAATGAACAAAAATGTTCAAGGATACAGACTCCCGAAGTAGTGAAAGCGAGAATAAAGAAACAAAGAAACTAATAAGAAATAAAAAAATCCCAAGATGAACAAATAATACTAGAAGAATAATTCACAAATAAATTAGAAAGCGAGCACCACTGAGATTTAGCTAAGTCCAAACATTCAAACCAATATTTACTCTTGTCAAATATTATATGATTCCTTTCAAACCAAATTTTTGATAATAAAGCCCTGACCGAATTAACCCAGATTAAACAGGCCTTTGGGAAGGAGGGTCCATGAAAATACTGCAACAAATTACTTCTGGAATCTTCTGAAAAGACCCATTGTAAATTGAAAAATGGAATAACTTCCACCAGCACTTCATAGCAAACAAGCAATGGAAAAATAAGTGATATTGACTTTCAGTTTTTTCATAACATAAAACAGAAATGGAAGGCTGAAGATACGAATCGAGAAGCTTCTTATGAAGAATATCCAAAGTATTCAAAATTTTGAACAAAATTATCCAAGAAAGCACATTAACCTTCAATCTGGTTTCCAAAATTGCTCCCAAGAGCCAGCCTGGTTGGCAAAAGCTTGGGATCTCTTGGTCATAGTAGTTTAGAGGTCTTAAGTTCGAACCTCCCGGTGAGCTTAATACTAAAAATCCTTGATGACTCTCAGGTTTGAGTCTTGGGGTAGGTGCAGGTGCCCCTGGGTGTAGGGGAGCTACTCCCAATTATAGGAAAAAAAAAACAACTGCGGGGCCCAAGTAGGTAGATACCTTCTGAAGATAAAGAATTGGAATTTCGAAAAGCAGAGTAGAAAAGTTGTATATGGATATGATGGATGGATAAAAATTCAGGACCTACCTCTTAAGTTCGGGACAAACCAATGTTTTGTTGCCATAGGAAGTCATTTTGGAGGCTTAGTGGATATCGCATCAAAATCCTTAAACCTTCTTGACTGCACCGAAGCCTTTATTCAAGTAGAAAACAATTCTTGTGGTTTTTTGCCGGCTTAATGAGCAGTCAGAGCCCTCCTGATTTGCCAAAAGAATCTACCTCAGCCCAACCAATGTCTCTGGAACTCCAAATAGATTTAATAAGCTTCCTATCAAGCTGTCTCAACTTCGTTTCTTGAAAGAAAACGACTGGCCAATGATTTTTGATGAAATTATTGATTATACTCGTTTCTTGAATGCTACCAGACCACAAACATTCCGCGATTAGATCTTCATGGAGTACTCTTGATTGGAATTAATCCTATCCCTGAATCTTCAATAATGTGAGATGTTCTTGATAGAAGATGGACCATCTTTGCTGAATTTTTTACTGACCTCTTTACTGCTTTTCTGGTGACAGTTACTAAAAATGTTTACATTTTAACCATCATAGGTGGCTCATTGGTCCAAAGGGGATAGGGTTAATTAAGAGGGGATGTGTTCAAACCCATGATGGCCACCTACTTTAGGAATTAGTAATTCCTATGTGTTTTCGGCACCAAATGTTGTAGAGTCAGGCGGTTGTCTTGCGAGATAAGTCGAGGTTTGTTGAAAAAATAAAGACTTCATTATAAAAAAATAAAAAAAATGCTTACATTTTCCAAAAGGGACCATCTGTCTTCGTCGAATAGGTTTGTTAAAACCTCTGTAAAAGCATCATCTGTAAAGACTTCATTATCAATATCTGAAAAATTCAAAGCATTAGGAGAACGAATACTACTTATGCTTACATTAATATCCTCATCATCATCCAAATAAGATTTATTCACATGGCATTTCATCATAGCCTCTTCAGTTGAATTAATGATCCCATATGAAAGAGGGGAAAAGGACCCCCCCCCCCGAAAATGCTCTCTCCTCTCTCACCCTCCCCCCTCCACTACCTAGCTTCCCCCTCTCTGGTGCCCCTTTCCGGTGAGTTTTTCAGGCCATAGCCTTCTGCTTTCCTTGTTTTCCCCCTTAAGTAGTCAACAGCAAGTGGTTCTGAGATTCACACAGTTTATTCAGAATGGAAATYAGCAGTTGTCGTATTGATGATTCATTTTTT